GGAGAGGACTGAACTTCACAGGAGAGCTTAAAGCTCCATTAAAAGTGTACGGTTGCCACTCTGCTCTAGCTGACTGCTTGCTGTGCAAGAAAGCAGACTCAATGTTAACTTCTGATTTTTTAAAAAAAGAGGTCAGAAATTTTATGTGAAATCTCCTGATTTACAAATGTTAGCTGAAGTGTTTTTAAAATACTGTATTTTGAGGTTTATCACCAAAATATCTATGGCTCTTAAAAAGAAGAACAAAGTGAAGAGTACTTTGGCAAAAAGCAGAGAGCTGAGGCCAACATCACACCAACACCAGGGAGGACCCCAGGCATGGCATTTTAAATGGGTGGAGGGCTCTCTGTCACTTTGCTGCTCTCTCTAGAAATTTCCCTTAAACAAGACTCAGCTTTAATTCAATAAGGGCTCATTTGGAATTGACTATGTTAGCAATGGAAAGGAAAGACCCTCCCTCTGGTGCTGTAGCATCTCCTGGATTGGGAGGAAAATGAGGGGAAATGAGAGCAAGTATTAGAACTGAGTTTCTTAATATTTGCTTGAATACTCCTGGACATTTATGGAATAGGCAGGCACATTTAGAAAGCTTATACAATTTGTCCATGATAAACTCATTCTTTTATCTCCCAAGTCAGGAGGCACATTAAGACTTGTCAATTTGTTCAACAAACATTTATTGAGCACTTACTATTTGCCATGTACATGGGCACTAGGGATAAAATCCAAATGAGTCATGCTTACAGCCTAAAAGGGGAGACAGGTAAGTAAACAGACGATTAAAGTGCAGGGTGAAGAAGTGTTATAAGAATTATGAATTTGTGAATGGTAATGATGTGCTGTACCCAAAATGTCTAATCAATCAGCAGAGGGGAAATCATGGAGGGTGTCCTGGAAGAAGCAGCACCTAAAGAGCAAATAGGAGATATAATCCTTATTTAAAGCTTGGTCCATGCCAGGCATTGTTCTAAAAGCCTTATGTTTATTAACTCATGTAAATTCCCACAAGAACCTTAGTAGTATGCATGCCTCATACTATCTGCATTTTATAAATGAGGAAAATGAACACAGGAACTTGCACAGGGTCACATAACTGTAAGTGTCAGAACTCAGATGCCATGTTCTTAACTCCTATGTATTATTTACATGTTTATATTTCACAAAATATAGAATAATTAGGACATACTATAAGTAGTTATGATTTGATGATTTCATTGGGATGGGGAACACTATAGAAACAAATAACTTGTCTTTGCTTAGGACTGCCTTGAATTACGTGAGCAATTTTTCTAGATTCAAGACAAGTTCTAGATATTTTGCTTTTCAAAATTTAGCATGAGCTGCAGTCACCTAAGATATAGACACCAGTTTGATTTTTTCACATTAGGATTTTTTTTAAAACAACTACATGCAATTTTCATGCCTGCATCTCCTTTCTTTTATATTTTCTATTGAGCTGTCTCACTGGGGATGAGAAGATGAGGTAGATAGATGAGGTAAGACACACTGCCCCACAGGGCCTATTACAGCTATTTTCTTTTTACTTTAAGTAGTACATTTCTTATGTCATTAGACACGTGACACTGCTAGCACATATTCCTCTTAAAGACTCATTTATTAAATATGAAAGACTGTTCAATGAAGTTTACTTCCTATCTCAGCAAGATATTTGTGTGGTTTACTTTTAACAGACAATATTTTATTTTCAGATACTGTATTCCCACAAATGCCACTGGATGAAGGGTACACTGTGTGTGTGTGTGTGTGTGTGTGTGTGTGTGTGTGTGTGTGTGTGTGTGTATGTGTGTGTGAAGATTATAGCCATGTACAGAATGATCAGTTCAGATTTTAATATGATATCCAGAAACTTCAGAGTTAGTTAACTGACAAGGGTGACTGAACTCACAAAAGCAAGGTAATGACAAACCTGATTGATTAACCACACACAGAATAGTGTATTAGTCTCATATATGGTTTAGCTCTTGGAAACCACCTAACACTGAACCTAAACAATCTTAGATGAATAAGGAAATCATACCTAGATATAAGAGGATGAATATAATTTCATTTGTAAGGCACTAATGCACTTCCTTAACGTCTTAAATGATTTAACTTTAACAACTGAAGTATTTGCATTTAATCTTTGTGCATTTATGAGTGTTTAGTACACAATGAATTAAAATAATTCTACTGCAAACAGAAACCATCAATTTATTCCAAAATCCAGCACCTATCTGTTACTGGGCTCAATCTCCAGGTTTTCCAGACTCAAAACCTCAAAGTTATCTTTGATTCCTCCCCTCTATTTATATCTACTTGAACATGAAGCCCAGTGGATCAGCCTACTGAAAGCAATCGTCAGGATGCTCTCATGTCTCCATCTTCCATTCGCACGGCCCACTGTCCTGACTCCTTCCTCATACACCAAAACTTGTCAGTGAAGTTACTAATGGCCTCCTGATTGCCACATCCCAAATACTTTCACATCTTGACATTTTCTCTTACCAAAACTTCCTTGGTTCCCACCACACTGTACTTTGCTTCATGATTCACATCACTTTCTCATTGTTGCCCTGTCTCCTTCATGGATTCTTCTTCCATTGCCCATCCTTTTTCTTGGGTAGGCCCTTGCATTTCCTCCTCTAGCCTCTTTTGTTGTTGTTGCCATTCTTACTCTCTCTGCAGGCAGGCAATTTCATCACTCTCATGACTTTAAGTGCCACCTGTACGCTGAAGAAGCCCAAATATCCAGCTCATACCTCTCTCTAGGACTCTAACATATATGTACCCCCCAAATTCTCAATCTGAATGTCTCAGACTCTGCTTTATCAACATTTCCATCTTCCCTTTCTAACCGTGCTCTTTCTCCTGGATTTCTAGGTATTGATTCTGTCACCAGTCATCCAAAGTAGAAAGTCAACTGAGAGCCATCCTTGACTTTTCCTTCTTCTTCATTTCTGACACCTAATTAATCTTCAATTACAATTTTTAGTTATTTTTCAACTCTGTTTCCTCATCTCCACTCTGATTTCTATTTTCCAACTTTAGGACTCATCTCTCTTACACCTACATCATTCATCTACTCATCCATCCACTTACATAATTATTGAGTGCCTAGGAGGAGCCAGGTACTGCTGCTCTCTTACCTTCTTGTGACAACTGCACTGACTTTCTAACTGGTCCTGCATGCCTCCAGTCTCATCTTTCCCACCCATCCTCCGAAGCGATGTTCTATCTAAAACGCAAATATGACCATGCCCCGCTGCTGCAAGCCCTTCAAAAGCTCCCTATCACCTACGAGATAAGTCCAGGCTCCCTGCCTATAAATATAAGGCCTACCAGGAGGTTGCCCTGTTTTCTTCTCCAGCCTTACTACTTCCCTACTATTCTGGTCTCTCCTCAGCAACACTGGATTATTACGTGCCTACACATCTCATGCAGCTACTCTTAATGCTACTCTTTCTGTTCTAGGAATACCACCCCCACTTGAACTGGTTACTGCCTTCTCTCTTCTTCTTATAATCTTTCAAGGCCCAGCTCAGGCATCCCCTTCTTCAGAAGCCCTTCTCTGATCACTCCCCTGGTGCTCCATAGCTCACTGTGGGTCCTGCTCTCACAGCATGTACCACATGATATGGAAAAGATCTGTTTAAATATGTCTTAGCTCATTGGACCATAAGCTTCTGATGTTACCTTACATCCATTCCTCTACTGCTACTGCCCTAGTCCTCACTAACCCTAATCTGGAGTACGGCAAATGTTCTCTCGATCTCCATTTTCCAGCCCCTCTAAGCCATTCCAAATGCCACTACCAGATTAATCTTCCCAAAGTATAGAACTGACTGTATGTTCCTCTCCAAACCAAAAGCTTCAATGGCTTCCTTTTCTCTGCTAAAGTGGCTCTCAAAGAGTGGAACATGCACCATTTGTGAAATGGTTTTAGATGGTACATGGGCATGGCATTAAATGACTACAGATCACAGGATAAAAATTTCCATCCATCAGTTTTCTTTCAATCCTAATTATGCCCAAGAAAAAGCTTGAACATGTATCTAGCTCTTGATAAACTCTTGTTAATAAAGAGCAGGCCTCAGGACAGAACCCTAAACAGGAAACAGTACTTAGCTAGACTTTAAAATACTGTTTTGTTTTCAGTATCTTTATTGTTATGGTTAATTTTTATTTCTGGAAAGTTATACTGGTTTTCCATTTATAAGTGTGATATAAAGTTTTTTCTTTTAAATAAATTTATTTAAATCAAAAAAGGCTGAGTTGGTTTAAAGGAGAGTATTATGTACATACTGGAACAGGTAGTACACAAACATCGTAAAGTCATGAGAGTAGTATTGAAATGACTAACATTTGAGAAAGACTAGTCAGTCGTATCAGGCCCAAACTTATTAGCCTGTAACCTATCGCTTACCTACTTATATATTACGCTGCTTTAGGTCTCAGAGGTTACACAAATCTCCCAACCTATATCAGGCTCTTGGATTATAGAACTGAGGTTTCCTTAAGGCTATTTTAAAAAATCTGGCAACAATGATGAATCATTCTCTGTTCTCCAAATATGTGCCACTTTCCAGCCTCTATGCTTCTACTCATGCTATTCCTTCTGCTTGGAATGCTCGGTTTTTCATTTCTACCTGTTGAAATTCTACAGTCCTTCAAAGTCCATGCCAAGTGCAATCTCCTTCATGAAGCCTTTCCTTGTCCTGCAGTCAGATGGATTTCTTTCCCTTTCACTGTACCAATAGCACTTACTCTCTCTACTGTGCTTCCAATCACAGTTTTGGTGATATTCTAGATATTCAAACAATTATATTCTCCCACCTAGTAGATCTTAAGCTCTTTCACTGGAAGAAAAAGAAGAGTATAAATTTCTATTCATTTTTAATACAACCATGGAACTTAACAGAATGCCTCATACACAGAGTAGGCCCAGAATTAATATTTGCTGAAATAAATTTAATATTTTAAGCAATATTCATGACACTTACGATTTTGCGTTTGATCATGAAGAGTGGGATTTTTGCATGAAGAGGGGTTGAGGACAGTTCCTTATAGACTGTTGATAAATACAATCTTCTTTTTATGTTCCTTAAATCAGTAATTCTGAAAAAAGAGAGAGGAGAGAAGAGAAGATTCCCATCAATATAATAACCACACTTCTTTGGATAATCATCAAAATAATATAATTTATTATATAGGCCCTTTCCAACAGGGAGATCAAACACAGAATTTAAAAATTGCCTTTTTCTTTGAAGAAGTAATAAAATTTCTTCCTTAACTTGAAAGTGTTCACAAGCCTGAGTCACTTAATATGCTAATTTATTTCAGTACTCTATATTTCTAGTCTTCCAGGCTATGAAAAAATTCAATTTGTATGAACTGAGAAACTGCTAGCCTTTAATAACCATGCTTGTTCCAGCTCCTTAAGCTTGTGTTATCTTGGGACATACTGTCACCTACTAAATAGGAAAACATTATGGGTTTCTTTCTCTAAAAACACACCTGTCATTTTATATACGCTCTTAGTCTGCTTATAGACAGACACAAAACGCTGACTGTCGGTTTCACTTTCCAAGCACATATCTTCGAACCAGAATTATAATACACAAGTTTACTGCTCACTACTCAGGTCAACCCACAGTGATAACAAGGACACTGAATTTGAACATCTTTAATAGATTTAGACCACAGCCATGATCACAAAGATTAGGTTTGATTCAAATTGATAGAGGCTCATTTTTATGTTCTGCTTCCTTTAGGTCTCAGAGGTAACGCAAAAGGCTTAAAATCTCCAAACCTGTCTCATGCTGCTATATTGAAGAATTGATGCTTTCTTAAAAACTGTCTTTTTATTGGAGAAGAGTGATATTTCCCCCATTTTTTAGCAACTTTGTCTAGGTGTACTAATTGCTAATATTATACAATTAGTAATTCCTCAAGAAGACATTTCATTCAAATATACTGCTACCAATATTTACAGTGTAATTAACTATAGTGTAAATCAACACAGCCTTCTCCAGAGCTCTTCCTTGCCTCCTATTTGCACTTTTCTAATCTCATTGTTTCTTTCCTTTAAAATACTAATACATTATTTTTTCTGTAGAAAAACTATCATTGAACAATGTTAAAAGTACAGCAAAAATTAGGTGACATGATTTCAAATATGCCCCAGACCTAAAAATTCTACCCTACCTGCACTAAACAATATCATAAAGAAAAAAAAAAAAGGTTCTGATGAACCTAGGAGCAGGACAGGAACAAAGACGCAGACATAGAGAATGGACTTGAGGATATGGGGAGGGCGAAGGGTAAGCTAGGACTAAGTGGGAGAATAGCATTGACATATATATACACTACCAAATGTAAAATAGCTAGCTAATGGGAAGCAGCTGCATAGCACAGGGAGGTCACCTCGGTGCTTTGTGACCACCTAGAGGGATGGGATAGGGAGGGTGGGAGGGGGGCTTAAGAGGGAGGGAATATGGGGATATATGTATACATATAGCTGATGCACTTTGCTATACAGCAGCAACTAACACAACATTGTAAAGCAGTTATACTCCAATAAAGACGTTGGAAAAAAAAAAGCAATAAAGCCTTTCAATCCATGGTCAGATGTAAGGTTTAAAGTGCAAAAGTGTTAACACTACTGAAATTTTACACTTACACGTATAAGTAAATGTAGAATATTTGCCCTAAGGTAGTGTCTTCAAAGTGGGATGAGCACATGGGAGAGGAAGAAAATATTAGAACCATCTTTCATACCATCCTTTTAAAATGTTGTATTTGGGTATGTTTCATTACATATACAGTACAGCAACATATTTATATATGTTTGAAATAAATAAATGTACCCATGTGGTTAGTGTGGTCAAACATTTTACCAATAGGATTCAGGATCAAATATGTCTGGAAGGCATTGTCATAAGGGATGCTATTAAGTCGCTTCTATAAGAAGTTCTGATTAGGAAATAAAAGGAAAGACTATATAGCGATTCAGGAAAGTAAAAGAGAACAAAAAATTCCCTTGCATCAAACAAAATGTTTGATTGCAACAACCAAAAACTTAAGTGAGACATAGTTTTGCTTTGCTTGGAGGGATAAGACTACGTCATTTTCATGTGAATTGGTAAGGACCGAACTCCAAACAGAGGAACATCTGAGTATAGTCCCAATTTATCAACACATGGAACAACAGGAACATTCATTCATTCATTCCTTCATTCACTCACATATTCAACAATACTCCCTGAGCCAAGCAACATCCTGGGAATATATCAGGGAATACAACAGTGAAAAGGTCAAGGTCTCTACCCTCCAGGAGCTTTTATTCTAGTGGAAAAGGCAGGTGAATAAAGTATAAAGAGACAAAATAAATGCACGTTATCCTAAATGCAATGAAGGAAACAAAAAAGAGACTGAACTAGAAAATCACAAGAAATGAACTACTTCAGACAGTAAAGCCAGCAGGGCTAGGAATTAATAGGTAAGGGAGGGACATGAGGTAGAAAGGAGAGGTAAGAGCCAAACCACGCAGGGCCTTTATGCTAAGGCAAGGGGTTTATAAATTTATTGTGCACAATAGGAAGCTATAAGAGGGTCAACATTCTACCATGCATGATGAATGGATATCATAAAAATAAACAGATACGGTCTCTTTTATTTACTGGGGTAAGATTTGAGTAAGTGACATGTACAGATTTTAGTGTTCAATCTCATGTATTTTGGTAAATGTGTACACCCATGTAATCACCACTCCAAATAAAACATAAAACATTTCCATTACCCTAGAAAAGTACACTCCTGGTCCCTTTTAGTCAGTTCTCACTCCTGATTTGTATCACGATAGATGAATTTTCTCTGTTCGTGAACTTCTTATAAATGGACTGATGTAGAATATACTCTTTTGTGACTGGCTTCTTTCACTTAACATGAAGTGTTTGAGAGTTATCCATGTTATAGTATGAGTCAATAGTTCTTTTTTTTTTTTGCGGTATGCGGGCCTCTCGCTGTCGCGGCCTCTCCCGCCGCGGAGCACAGGCTCCGGACGCGCAGGCCCAGCGGCCATGGCTCACCGGCCCAGTCGCTCCGCGGCATGCGGGATCCTCCCAGACCGGGGCACAAACCCGTCTCCCCTGCATCGGCAGGCGGACTCCCAACCACTGTGCCACCCGGGAAGCCCAATAGTTCTTTTTTTAAATTGCTGAGTCTTGTATGGCAATACAACAATTTATTTATTCATTCTCCTGTTGATGAACATTTGTTTACAGTATTGGTTTTTTCTGAATAAAGCCTGTGTGACTATCTATGCTTGAAGAGTCTTCTTGTGGATATGTCTTTTCATTCTCTTGAAAATCAGGAATGGGATTTCTGGGTCATTGGGGAAGATATATATATAACTTTATAGAAACAGTTCTCCAAAGTGATTGCAGTGGTTCCACATCCTCAGACTTTAATGTTAGCCAATTCTAGTGGGTATGAAATGGATACCATTGTGATTTTATTTGCATTTCTCTTATGAATAATGACATTGAATGCTTTCCTATGTGTTTACTGGTATGTCTTGTGAAATATCTGTTAAGTCTTTTACTCAGTTTTTATTGGTTGTTTCCTTACTATAATTCTAAGAGTTCTTAACATATTTTAGATACACGTCCTTTGTCAGATATATCTATATCTATACCTATATATCTATAGTGAGTATTTACTTGCCTGTTATCTTAATGGTATCTTTTAAAAACTTTTTATTTGGGGACTTCCCTGGTGGTGCAGTGGTTGAGAGTCCGCCTGCCGATGCAGGGGACACGGGTTTGTGCCCCAGTCCGGGAAGATCCCACATGCCGCGGAGCGTGAGCCATGGGTGCTGAGCCTGCGCGTCCGGAGCCTGTGCTCCGCAACAGGAGAGGCCACAACAGTGAGAGGCCCGGGTACCGCAAAAAAACCAAACCAAACCAAAACAAACTTTTTATTTGGAAATAATCTCTAAGCTAGAGGAAAGTATCAAGAATAGCAAACAGAAGACTTTTATATGCTTTATCTAGATTAGCTTATTGCTTAATGATGACTTTTAATTAGCAGAAGTTTTTAATTTTCATGATGTCCAGTTGATCATTATTTATAGTAGTGCTTTCTGTCTTAAAAAATCCTCACCTAGTCCAAAGTTGCAAAAGTACTTTCCTTTGTTTCCTTCCAGATCTTTATAGCTTTAGTTTTTACATTTAGTTTTTACATTTACATCTACGATCCATCCCACATCAAGTACTTTATATTGTGTGAGGTACTGGGTGTGGTTCTTTTTCTGTATGTTTATCCAGTTGTCCCAGCACCATTTATTAAAGACTCTCCTTTAGTCACTGAAATGCCTTGGTACTCTGTTGAAACTCAATTGACTATAAATGTGTGTGTGTGTGTGTGTGCGTGCGCGCGCGGGCGCACGTGTGTGTCTATTTCTGGACTCTCTATTGATCCATTTGTTTCATTTATCCACTCTTACACCAATGTTATACTGCTTTGATTACTGTAGATTCACAGTAAGCCTTAAAACTAGGTAAAGAAACTCTTCAACTTGGTTTTGTTCAAGGTTTTTTTGGCCCTTGCTTTTCCATATAAATTTTAGGATCCACTTATCATTTTCTGTTAAAAAAAGCTGTTGAGAGTTTAACTTGGATTGTGTTGAATCCATAGATCAATTTAAGGAGAACTATATTGAGTCTTACAATTTACTTACATGATATATCTCTCTATTTATTTAGGCCTTGTTTAATTTGTTTCACAATGTTTCATAGTTTTCATTTTAGAAGTCTTGCATATGTTTTGTTACATTTATTTCTAAGTATTTTATTTTTTGATATGACTGAAAATAAATTTTAAAATTTCATTTAAAAAGTAGCAGTTGAATGCTACTAGTATATAGAAATGCCATTGATTTTTGGTATACAGACCTTGTTTCCTGTGACCTTACTTAATTCACTCGTGAGTTCTAGTAACTGGTAGATTCCTGAGAATTTTCTACATATACAATCATGTCTTCAGTAAATAAAGACTTTTACTTTTGCTTTTTTCAATTTTTATACTTTTTATTTATTTTTTCTTACATTACTTCC